TCTAGAATAAGCCTGCCAATTGTAAAGCTGTAAAGCTGAATTGTAAGCTGTATCCCGTCGCATCCTTGGGGAACTTGAATATGCATCTTGTGCTCGGGCTTGAAAGGCGCGAGCAAAAATGCTCCACAGACGTCGATGACCTCAGCCCAATACCCTGCTAGCAACATCAGGATCAACACGATCCGGATAGTGTGTTCAGCCGCAACTGGTGCTGCCTTGTCGTCTTCGTCGTAATGTTCTCCGTCAATTTGTTCGAAGCCACGTGCCACCATTCTGGCCCTGAATTTGCCGTTGGACTTCTTCTTCATTGCCCACTTGGTCGATAGCACTTTTGCTCCTTGTGGTAAATCCTTAATCTTGACAGGAACAAACACGTTGCTGTCGACCATTCTCTGGTACTCTTCTTCGACCGACTTCTGCCAATCCTTCTTGTCGTCTGTTGCCATGGCTTGGTTGTAGTCCAAGACATGCAACTCCTGTGTGTTCGTGAATCCTCCTCCGATTCCGGCTCCGACACAGGACACCTCACCAAATGCCTCTGGAAAACGTTCCATAGCATCGTAGTACCTCTCTTCAGCAGGCGTGAGCCCTATCTCATAATCAGTGGCGATGCCTCCAACTTCCATTGTTTCGATCAATCGATCGCGAGGTTTCACCACACGGCCAGATCTGGTCTGAACTCCAGTGTCAGGCACGTGCTCTTCATTTTGGGTTTCGTCTTGACGTTCTTCAACGTTCTCTTTTCCGTTCTCTTCTTCTTCTTCCTGTTCCCCGTCAATTCTTTCGGGTTCTTCTTGGATGACGCTTAGTTCATCTTCTTCAAGCTCGATAGCTTCTTCATTGCTTGTTCCCTCTCCAGCTTTCTGGGTCTTCTTGTAGTACATTCGATGTAGCCACACCACATCTCTTGATACGTGAACTCTGCGTGTTGATGGATCCCACATTTTATAGCAGTCTCCTGCATGTGCATTGGGGTATCCAACAAACATGCACACAGCTCCTCGATCTTTGCCCTTTGGCTGAAGCTTGGACGTTATGGTGACAGTTCCTGCTTCTCCCCATGTCTTGAGGTAGCCAGCATAAGGTGGATTTTCTCCAAAGACATGTTCATATCGTGTCTTCAATGTGCCTTCCAATCTCACCGGTACAAGTCCATCCAACTTGGTTGCTGTTTCCACTGCCTTTGGGAATACCAGATGACGGATGTCATCTGGGATATTCGCGTCGGCACACATTGCCCTTGCTCTGTTGCCGACCACACGAAATCCTACACTGGAGAGTTTTGCTGTGGAGTATCTCGTGCCGTGTACTCGTACACCAATCCGAGCCTCCAATCTTTGCTCTCGCATCTCTTCTCTAGTTTCTTGTTCTCTCTGGCATTGTCCATTCGAAGGAACTTCGGCATCATATCATTGCTCTTCATCCGGTAGAGCTTCTCTGCCGTTGGTTCCACCATTGCGCTTTTGCTCTGGAACATGTCTGTTATTTTCAGACCTGTATACCCAGATACCATCATTCGCCACACCTTGCAGATTGTTCCGGCTTCTCCGCTCTTGTTGTCGCGTCGTCTCAGATCGCAACAGTCCAGGTAGAACCGGTGCGACAATACCATTGTGCATTGACTAGTCTAAGGATCTAAGAGATGTAAAGTTTGTATTTCCAAATAAGTGAGCAGTTATTGATTATTTTCTAGAATAAGCCTGCTAATTGTAAAGCTGTAAAGCTGAATTGTAAGCTGTATCCCATCGCACTC